ATGAATGTCTACTACAGCTACATCAATCGCAAACCCAGCCTACGTGTGGCATAACTGCCAACCCCTTAGAGGCCATCCAGCCAACTTGCAGTGTAATCTCCTCCACTTGTAGGTCTCTGAGCTGCAGCAACACCTAAGTGCTCTGACACAGAGACACAAAAGACTTTTAACCTCCTCTTGGAGAGGAGAGAGTCTCCGACCCTGAATCTCAGATCTTCTATGGAGGGACTGTCAGGAATCCTGTAAGAGCATCCCATCCACACAACCTCTTGCCATAAAAAACAAAGCAGAATGTGTGGTGAAGGAACTCCGGGTTGACAGAGCCTTGTCCTTGCTTCAAGCAATGTGCTAACAAGGTGCTGAACAGAGTGGCACAAAGGTTAGCGCTTATGACTATGGATCAGAAGATTCTCGGTTATGGAAACCAAGAAACTGTGTATGAGAGAATGCTTAAGTGTATGAGTGGCACTTGTTCAAGCGGAGCAGGGTCGTGCCAGCAATCAGAAAGAACTGGAGTTTGTGCCAAGACTGGGTTTCAAAAGTGGCTTTTTCCATATGGTCTAGCAGTCAGGATTCCTGATTTTCACCCAGGTGACCCGGGTTCGACTCCCGGTATGGGAAGGCTTAAGTACTTTTGCTCCTGTCCTTTTTGGCCAGCGGTCGGACTGCAGCTACCTTATAGGGTGTGGTTGTGGAACTGCTACATAAGACTTTGATAACTCAGCTGGTAGAGTGAAGGACTGTAGGACCAATTCTTAGGTCCCAGGTTCGACTCCAGCTCAAAGGATGACTTTTGTGCTCAGAGCCGCTTTCTTGCCTTTGCGAAGATATCATCGGCACCACTGCTCGAAGTTCACCATGGAGGTGAAAAGGAAGTTCCCTGACCAGGAATCGTACTCGGACCACGGCCGTGAGAGCGCCGAATCCTAATTACTAGACCACCAGGCTAGACCATCAAGCCTAGCTGTGGGCTTCCACCCAGGTGTGCTGCAGCTGCTCTGACAAAAATAACTCTAACATTTGCAACCTCCTTCTGGAGAAGAGAAAGTCTCAGAGCCTGGATCACAGTTCTTCTTGGGAGGGACTGTCACATGCTCTGTGTTAGAGCATCCTATCGACACCACAACTTGCCATGACAAGAAAGCACAGCAAGCGTTGAAGGAACTGCATGTTGACCGAGCCGTGTCCTCTTTCCAAGCAGCATGCTAATGAGCACTGCTGACGCAAACTGGGCCAGTGGCGGATACTGCCACCTGTAATTCGTGGTTATTCTTGGTTACACCGGCCAATCATGGTCCGAGTTGGAACCAAGATTTTTTTTAATTCTTGGTTACGCTGGCCAATCTTGTCCCGAGCTGGAACCAAGATTCACCCTATTCTTGGTTACGGCAGCCAATCATGTTCCGAGTTACAATGAACGCTATGGCCAATCAGAGCCCTTATAACATTCATGATTTGTACTGTATTAACAGATTTCGTTGTGGATTAATTCGGACAACAATTACAAAGTAAGTATTTTTATAACAAGTTGGTTTAAATGAATAACCATTGCAGTAACATTAATTACAACAAGACAATTATTATATGATTGTTATAGATGTTATATGACGTTGTTTGTTAAGATTAATGTTAGCCGACCAAGCACACTGTACAGTTTTACTACAAACATTTTAATGCAGTTATTATACATTACTTCACTTTATATTGTCATTTACTACCATAGGTACAATAATGCCAGTGCATTATTCTCACACATTAATGAATCACTTCACTAATAATAAATATAAGGCTCAATTCATCAGTCATTAATTATAAACAAATAGTATAATAACGCTCACATATCACAACATCACTAATCATAAACTAATGTAATAATGCTCACGCATAATACATCACTAATCATAAAGCATAAAACAATATGGATCACGCATAATTGCATCACTAATAATAAACCAATAATATAAGGGTCACAATTTAATACACCACTAATAATAATAACATTATTATTAGTGATGGATTGATGTGTGACCCTTATATTGTTGGTTTATTATTAGTGATGCAATCATGCATGATCCATATTAATTAATTAATAACTGCATTAAAATGTTTGTAGTAAAACTGTACAGTTTGCTTGGTCGGCTAACATTAATCTTACCAAATAACGTTATAAAACATCTATAACAATCATATAATAATCGTGTTGTAGTAATTAACGTTACTGTAATGGTTATTCATTTAAACCACCTTGTTAAAAAAATACTTGCTTTGCAATTGGTATCCGAATTAATCCGCGTCGAAATCTTTTATTACAGTACAAATCATGGATGGTATAAGGGCTCTGATTGGCCATAGCGTTCATTGTAACTCGGAACACGATTGGCTGCCTTAACCAAGAATAGGGTGAATCTTGGTTCCAGCTCACAAAGTGATTGGCCGGTGTAACCAAGAATAACCACGACTTACAGGTGGCAGTATGAGCTAACCGGCCACTTACTACCAAGCTTAATAAAAGTCTTCCAGTTGGTGCTGCCCAGGCTAAAGAGAAAAAAATGTGAAAAAAAATAATAATAAAACGGCCTTGCCAGAAAGTAGCAGAATGTCAATACAAGGCGGTGGCAATGTGCATTGATTTCTGAGTAACTCGTCATTCGGCATGCAGGGCTCCTCACACGTTTACTGGAGCAGGACCAGGTAGGGCCTTCAAAAGAAAAGCACACTATTCCAGGCAATTTGATGACTAAACGGCAGGCAGGGCAAAGAGGCCACCACAGAGCAAATTTGATCTTTTTTTTCTATTTTGACCACGTCGAAAATTGCCAATTTTTGATTGCTCTGAGGGGAATTAGCTCAAATGGTTAAGTGTTAGAGGTAGCGGGAACAATGACTGCATTCTCCACCTCTGTTTTCATGCCTTTTTACATTGGCTTTTATTGCAAAGCTGGTGGCACCTTGAGGGTTTAAAGCGAAACTACTTACATCAGCTTTGCCGGTTTCCGTGTAGTACAAATCATTGCAAACCTTCAGAAGCCCTATCAAATCATAGTTTTCATTTATTCAGCAGCGTGTCTGCAGTGGGACATTAAAGCGCTAAATACATAGCATTATAGAGTGCTGTCGATCAGGCCATTGGAATCATCGCCAGAAGCAACGTGACCATCTGGGAGGAAGATAGTGTTTTGGTCAAGTGGAAGCAGGTGGACTTAAGGGTGAAGCAGCTAGGCTTTTGGGTGACTTTCAGTCACCTGACCCTTGTGCACAAAATAGAACAACAGCACTGTTTTGCTGAAATCCAGGATCGGACCAGGGACCTTTAAATATTAAGTCTGCCCTTTCACAAGTATCCTGCAGCATACATGTCTGTGAGACTAAGCAGAATCCTGAAATGCCTCTGAGGCCTTAAAGGGTAAAAGTTTGGCCAGTACGGGGATCGAACCCACAACCTTGGCGTTATTAGCACCACGCTCTAACCAGCTGAGCTAACTGGCCACTTTCTGCCATGTTTGCTAAAAAGCTCAGAGTAACTGTCATTTTCTTCAAGAGATAAGAATGCTATTCCAGCGTTTTTTGTGCAGTACTGGTAAAAAAACAAGGTCCCACCGAGATTTGAACTTGGATCACTGGATTCAGAGTCCAGAGTGCTAAACATTACACCATGGAACCTCAAGTCTTCTGGTTGGTGCTGCCCGGCCTAAGGTAAAAAAAAAAGAAGAAGAAAAAAGAAAGAAAATGGCCTTGCCAGAAAGTAGCAGAATGTCAATACAAGGCAGTGCCAATGTGCACTGATTTCTGAGTAACTCGTCATTCGGCATGCAGGACTCCTCACACGTTTACTGGAGCAGGACCAGGTAGGGCCTTTAAAAGAAAAGCGCACTATTCCAGGCAATTTGACGACTAAACCGCAGGTAGGGCAAAGAGGCCACCACAGAGAAGATGTGATCTTTTTTTTTTTTTTTTTGACCACACCAAAAACTACCAGTTTGAATTTTTCCAAGGGGAATTAGCTCAAATGGTAGAGCGCTCGCTTAGCATAGGAAGGGGTCCAATCATCTCGCTCACTCGCAAGCGAACAAGCCGCAAAAAAACGGAAAAATGTGACAAATTTCGCTTGCAGTAGTGTTCGCGGCTTTGTGACTGCATAATGTGGTATTTTGGTTACATATTGCATGTCATTCTAAATGTCATTTTTTGCGTGCTGGATTCGAACACACGATCTGTGTAACACAATATCCAATCAGTGTCGGTTTCAGCGGATTATTATGTGGATATTGTTCTTAAAAAGCATATTACGTTAATTAAAAATGAATGAAAATGTTTCAATTAAACATATGTATGCATGTTTATGTATATATAAGTATATTATATATATATTTATGTATTAATATATAAATATATACTATACTATATATATATATATATATATATATATATATATATATATATATATATGTGTGTGTGTGTTGTATTTCTTTATGTAATAACTTTAAATGAATGCACACAAAAACAAGTAATATGCAAAATGGTTTATTAAAATGAATACAAATATTAAAATCGCAAAACAATTTAAAAAATGTAAAAAACAAAATAAAAACATATCTTAATATATAAACTATATAATATACAATAAATAAAAACAATACAATATATATTTATTTATTATGCACATATAATATATTAAAACAATACTATTTATAAATATATTTATTTATTATACACATTATATAAAAACAACACTATATATATATATTTATTTTTATATACACAATATATTAAACAATAATATAAATAAATAATAAAACGCAAGAGTGGGGGCACATAATATATAAAATATAGTATTTAAGCAATGTATAAAATGTTTTTTTTTTTAAGAAATATAAATATATTTTTACATAAAATACACACAAATATTAAATAAGTACACACAAGACAAAATAAGAGTGGGCCTATAAGTGCCACTTTAAAATGCTAAATATTAACACACAATAATTAAATAAAATGAGAGAGAGAGAGAGAGAGTACCCATGTAACATTTACAAAAATATATACAGCAATTTGTCCTTTATTCTGGAGCTGGAGTTTGTCCTTTATTTTGCTGGCGCTGTTCTGCCAACCAGTTCTCTAAGGATTTGCCATTTGAAGTGCAGGTGCAGGTGGAGGAACAGCAGGTGCAGGTGGAGCAGGTGCAGGTGGAGGAACAGCAGGTGCAGGTGAAGCTGGGACTGCACTGGATGTTGGTGCAGCAAATGATGGAATCACCATTGACACACTCATGTCTGGGTTAAAAACAAGTGTGCCAAACAATGATTCAGGTCCTGAAATGGGCTGCATAACACCTGGTGCTATGGGGGGTGGTGCAATGGGGCACACCGTGCTAAGGGTCGGTGGAAAGCAGCACACCGTGGTGGGGGCAGACACAATGGGGCGCACTGTGGTGGGGGCCGGCGCAATAGGGCGCACTGTGGTGGAGGCTGGTATGATGGGGCACACTGTGGTGGAAGCTGGCGAGATGGGGCGCACTGTGGTGAAGGTCGGTGTGACGGGGCACACCATGGTAGGGGCCGGTGCAATGTGGCAGACTGTGGTGGGGGTTGGCGCAATGGGGCATACCGTCGTGGGGGCCAGTGGAAAGGAGCACACCGTGGTGGCATCCGGCAGGAAGGAGCAAACTGTGGTGGTTGCAGAAGCAGACTTTCGACCAGGTCGAATAAGAGGTGCCTGTCCTTCTTTATTTGGAGGAAAGACAAACTGGTGTTTGGGGCCTGATGTTGATGGTGCCTCGTCCAATTTTTCCCTCGGCAAAGGAAGCTGCGTATCTGCCACAGCAATTGGATCAAGTGGAGTCAGTCCCTGAGTGAGTACACTCATTTCCTGATCCTTTTGCCTCCGTTGAAACCTGATAATAAATGATATGTATTATACATATATATTAATTTAGAAGTATTCAGGTAATTTAAAGAAAATAATGTGCTTTGCTTACCACTGAATAAGCGTCTTCTGGTTTAGCTCAAAAAGCTGGATCACTGTTTCATCCATCAGCCTGCGACTGCCAAGCACCAGATCCCGGATGTGGTGGTAATCGGTCAGTATTTTAGACCACCTGGGCGTGCGAACACCAGCCTTCTTGGAAGTGGACTTGTGAACGGCACACAGCTTTGTACAAATGGCCTCAACCAAGCGGCTGGTGCTAGGCCACTGTGCTGGACCCCCAGGATGTCCAATCAGACAGCGCTTGACGTTCTCCACACCTGGAGTGACTCCGGAGCGCTAAGGTGCCTTAAAACGCGCATGTGTCAGCTGAGGCTTATGTCGAGGCTGGTAGTTGATGCGCTGTTTATCAACATCCAGGAGAGCTGTCCACAGCTGGATGGCCTCTGTCACCTGCAGGTCAGTGAGGTAAGGAGCCTCACGAAGACCTACCAAATAAGCAGCCAGATCCTGGACCTTGTCCCACCCAGCAATGCCATCAGGTCCAATGATTTACTCCCTGGTAAATACAGAATAAATGTAGTATATGTGGAATAAAAAAAGACTAAATCAAGTTAAGTTCTTAATATATCTTACCTGAGCCTCAACAGAGAGACTGTCTCCAGACTTGGATGGCTGTGACGGCACTGGGGGGCTGGGCTAGGAAGCTGTCCTTCTCCACCAGCAGATGTGGACAGCTCAGCCAGTGATGCTGGGGACTGAGGCAGAGGCGAAGATGAGAGGCTGTTTCTAAGATCACGGCAGGGGTCATCCTCATACAGCACTGGAACTGTGATGTCCTCCATGATCTCCTCCTCAAACCCGTCATCTTGTAGATCCTCGTCATCTACTTCCTCCACCAGCCTGTTTCCTCCTCTGGGTTCTGGAGCACCGGAGTCAGGGTTTTGCCTGTCTGGCTGTAAAGGTGCTCCATTCCCAGCAATTCACCTTAAAAAAATATAACAATAAAAAAACATATATTAAATAAAACTAATGATAAAATAAACATTTAGATTACCATTTTGTGTAGTACATTAAAAGCTTAATGAATAACTTCCATAACAACTAATTAATGGATTTCTTGCCTGTATATGCTTTAGGAGGGTGATAGCGGTTATCCCAGGGCTTGCGTCCTGAGACATATCTTTTGGTGGACAATGAGCATTGTGTTTTTCCTCTCTCTCTCCCTGCAGGTAACTGTGTCCACCTGGTAGCAATCATTGGATCTTTCTAGAGAGGAGAGAGAGTATTTAACCTGAGCTGCACTTCAAACCAGTGTTGGTGGTGTTAAGTGCAGTGGCTGAGCTTTTCTCCAAATTCAGACCTGACTCATGAGGTGAACCGATCAATTCTTTTTCCGGCTCTAAATGCGTATGATGGGCTCATGATGAACGAGTGACTCAGACCCAATAGAGGACTCATGAGATGAACAGATCAATTCTTTTTCCAGCTCTAAACGCGTATGATTGGCCCTTGAGGAACGAATGACTGAAATCCGATAGAGGACTCGAGAGATGAACGGATCAATTATTTTTTTCGGCTCTAAACGCGTATTATTGGCCCTTGAGGAACCATTGACTCAGACCCGATAGAGGACTCGAGAGATGAACGGATCAAATATTTTTCCTGCTCTAAACGCGTATGATTGGCCCGTAATGAACGAGTGACTCAGACCCGATAGAGGACTTGAGAGGTGAACGGATCCTGAGAGGACTTGTAGTTCCCAAATCATATTGAAGATTCGTTTAAAATGAACGAAATGTTCATGATCGACCCATTACTAAACCTGGTTAGATACCTGCTCCAGTCGGGGATTGAACCTTGTGATCTACCCAAAGTGTTATTTATGGACATATTTCTTGAACCAGTACTGTTATATATGCATTGATTAGTTTCTGGTGGGCAAAAAATACAAAATATAACCTTAATTTTGCTTCTTTCTTTCTCAATTTCTCAAATTTTCTTATTTTTCTTGTGCTTTTTTCTTCCCCTTCCAAAACAGACTATTGTTCCCCAGCTTAAGCGGAGTCGGTAGAGGGTCCAGGGTTCAAGTCCGTGTTCGGGCATGACTGAGTGGTTAAGGCGATCGACTTGAAATACGTTGGGGTGTTCTCCCGCAGGTTCAAGTCCTGCCAACTATACCCACATCCTGTTACTTTTTAAAATTGCAGCAGTCATCAATTGTTTGCATTTCCATTGTTTCTTGGGAAAAGCGTTGTGCTGGTAGGAGGAGAAAAACAACACTGTTCTCACTGAAGAGAAAGGGGCTTATCACAGGGAGGAACATACCACACATAGGTGACAACGGCTGTTTCATAGCTCGCCATGATCGTATAGTGGTTAGTACTCTGTGTTGTGGCCGCAGCAACCCCGGTTTGAATCCGGGTCACGGCAGGTTTTTCAAGGTGACATTGGTGTCGCATTCTGTGTTGCCATCCGTTATCTCCAGCCTCCTTTTAGTGCAGGCTGTGCTAATGGCACGTCCTGAATGTTTACGTTTCCTAAAGTGTGGAAGACTAGGGATATGATATAAGAGAAATAGGATCTTTGATGCCAGCATGCTGTGTAGATAAGTACTGATCAAGTCACGCTTCTAAGGCATGGAAGGAATCTTTTCAATTGTTGAGTGTCCATTCATTGCCACAACAGCAAAAAGACATTCTGCAGTTATCATTGATCTATTTAATGTCTCCTACATGACATGAAGTCCAAACTATTGTGTTGTACTGATGTCTACACCTACAAAAACCATAAACCGAACCTCAAAGTAACCTGTCGTGTTTTAGCAACCTCCACACCAACCATAAGCTTAAAACCCCATCTCACGGTAAACTTTAGTGTACTGTAAAGGTCTGCGCCGACCACAACCCAAACCTTGCCTACTTGTAACTTACTGTTGTGGAGCTCGGATAGCTCAGTCGGTAGAGCATCAGACTTTTAATCTGAGGGTCCAGGGTTCAAGTCCCTGTTCGGGCGTGTGACGCTCATTTTGTGGAGCCACAGCTTTTGCCGTTGAGCTATCGCTTGATAAAGTTTCATCTGGATGCACAATATGTGTACTAGGCATAAAGAAATGGCAGTACAGGCAGTCTTGTAGTCGTGGCCGAGTAGTTAAGGCGATGGACTTGAAATCCATTGGGGTCTCCCTGCGCAGGTTCGAATCCTGCCGACTACGTCCTCCCCCTTTTTAAAATTGCAGCAGTCGTCAATTGTTTGCATTTCCATTGTTTCTTGGGAAAAGCGTTGTGCTGGTAGGAGGAGAAAAACAACAGAGTGTTCTCACTGAAGAGAAAGGGGCTTATCACAGGGAGGAACATACCACACATAGGTCACAACGGCTGTTTCATAGCTCGCCGTGATCGTATAGTGGTTAGTACTCTGCGTTGTGGCCGCAGCAACCCCGGTTCGAATCCGGGTCACGGCAGGTTTTTCAAGGTGACATTGGTGTCGCACTCTGTGTTGCCATCCGTTATCTCCAGCCTTCTTTTAGTGCAGGCTGTGCTAATGGCACGTCCTGAATGTTTACGTTTCCTAAAGTGTGGAAGACTAGGGATATGATATAAGAGAAATAGGATCTTTGATGCCAGCATGCTGTGTAGATAAGTACTGATCAAGTCACGCTTCTAAGGCATGGAAGGAATCTTTTCAATTGTTGAGTGTCCATTCATTGCCACAACAGCACAAAGACATTCTGCAGTTATCATTGATCTATTTAATGTCTCCTACATGACATGAAGTCCAAACTATTGTGTTGTACTGATGTCTACACCTACAAAAACCATAAACCCAACCTCAAAGTAACCTGTCGTGTTTTAGCAACCTCCACACCAACCATAAGCTTAAAACCCCATCTCACGGTAAACTTTAGTGTACTGTAAAGGTCTGCGCCGACCACAACCCAAACCTTGCCTACTTGTATATTACTGTTGTGGAGCCCGGATAGCTCAGTCGGTAGCAGTGGTGGTAAGAGTACAAAAAAATTGTACTCAATTACAAGTACTGTTACATTGCTGAAATTGTACTCAATTACAAGTAAAAGTACTGGTGTTAAAAAGTACTCAAGTAAAAGTACAAATTACTCTTCGTAAAAACTACTCAAATTACAAAATTACAAATTACTTTTTTAGCTTGGCGGTATTGGTGGAATTATCCATAAATGCGGAGTCAGACAAGATCCAGGCAGTAAAACACATTTTACATAACACGTTTAAAGATGCTATAAACACTTTTAAAAAAAACAGTGTGTAAACAGCATTAATTATAGATTATAATTATAGAGCACCTATAAAGGAAACCCACGCCAACATGGGGAGAACATGCAAACTCCACACAGAAACACCAGCTGACTCAGCCAGGGCTTCAACCAAAAAACTTTTTGCTTTGAGGCGATAGCAATACCCACTGCGCACCATGATTATTTTACAAAAACAATGTTTTGCTATTTTGAGTATAAAGATAACAGAAATATGCACAAATGCACGGCTTTTTATCATTTCAAATGATGCCTCTTTTATCTGCACGATCAATAGATGATTTAATATATAAAAAAAACACTTGCAAATTATGGAGAAACTTTGTTAATTACCTAATTCGCGAACTGAACCGTCAGAAACCACAGAACAACACTGCCTAGTGCCTAAACATATTATTAATAAATTAATATTAATATTAGCACTTTATCAGCATCTAGACCAGCAGCCTGTAAGTACATTTAAGATTTGTTTCAGTTGTTGTGTATGGTTTGAGGACTTGTTTCCAGCTGTTTGTGTAAAGTTGTAGGACATTTAAACTTGCTTTCAGTTGTGTATAATACTAGAAGTTGTTTAGCCACTGTTTCCTTGGTTACTATAAGAGCTTGTGTAGCGAACGCAAACGCGGTTTCGCGTCGTCCGCCTCAGTTTCGGCCCTTGTTTTGACTCGGGAGGCGTGTCCAAACGCCAGGTAACCACTATATAGCGAGCACGCTAGCATTAGTCGGCAGGAGAAGCACTTTATCAGCATCTAGACCAGCAGCCTGTAAGTACATTTAAGATTTGTTTCAGTTGTTGTGTATGGTTTGAGGACTTGTTTCCAGCTGTTTGTGTAAAGTTGTAGGACATTTAAACTTGCTTTCAGTTGTGTATAATACTAGAAGTTGTTTAGCCACTGTTTCCTTGGTTACTATAAGAGCTTGTGTAGCGAACGCAAACGCGGTTTCGCGTCGTCCGCCTCAGTTTCGGCCCTTGTTTTGACTCGGGAGGCGTGTCCAAACGCCAGGTAACCAC